GGATGTAAACTGGTAAAACCACTACGGAAATCAGTTTGGAGATCTGAAATATGAATATGGACCCACCATATGACCCAGCCATCCCACTCCTGGCAAATAAAAGAGCTATCTGCACCTCAATGTTTATTGCAGCTCAATGCACAACAGCTAAGACATGGAACCAACCTAAATGCCCGTCAACAGAAGACTGGATAAAGAAGTTATGGGATATGTACTCTATGGAATACTACACAGTGGTAAAAAAAATGAAATCTGGTCATTTGCAACAAAATGGATGAATCTGGAAAACATCACACTTAGTGAAATAAGCCAGTCGCAAAAGGAAAAATACTATATGTACTCCTTAATCTATGATAACTAACAGAGAACCCAAAAGGAAACCTGTAGAAGTGAAATTGACTTTGAGAAGCAATGACTTGAACAGCCCTTGTCTTGACTGTTGAGGAACAGTTTTTTGGGGTTTTGTTTTTGTTTTCTTAATGGAGAATGGGACTGGGAATGGGAAAGGAAGGAGGAGGTGGGGTGGGGTGAGGGTGGGCAGGCAGGTAGGATAGGAATAATCACTATATTCCTAAAGTTATGAAATTTGTACTCATTAAAATACATGGTTTATTTGGGAAAAAAAGACGTGATTAGGTCCAAAGATTAAAGGGAAAGAACATTTCCTGTTTTATAATTTCAAATTCAAGGTCTTAAATGTAGGATATTAGAATGGGAAGGAAATTCAAGATAATGTTGAGGCAAAATAAAAATAGAGACTCAGAGGGAAAAAAAGAAAGAGAAAACAATGTGTTCTATGAGTGTTACTGTTTATGATCCCAGCTCTCCCACTGCCTTCTTAATTCTGTGAGCTACTGCAAAGTTCCTATCCTGTGTGAGCTATCTCAAAGTTCTGTGTTGATTTATATAACAACAGTCAGTTTTTGTTGCTTGCAATTCAGTAACCCTACTAGATTAACAAATAAAAAGAAAGTGGCAGTTAGGAGTGAGATGACAAATAATTAAGATACAAAGAGAAGCAGAGAAGATGAAGAAAGTAGCTGGATCCTGTGACTATCTGAACTTTGAAAGGAATTAAGTCCTGGTCTTTGTGTATCCTTGTTTTTGTTGTTGTTTAAGATTTATTTACTTACTTGAACAGCATAGTTACAGAGAGGCAGAGGCAGAGAGAGAGGTCTTCCATCTGCTGGTTCACTCCCCAGATGGCCGCAACAGCCAGAGCTATGCCGATCCAAAGCCAAGAACTAGAAGCTTCTTCCAGGTCTCCCACATGGGTGTAGGGGCCCAAGGACTTGGGACATCTTCTACTGTTTTCCCAGGCCATAGCAGAGAGCCGGATCAGAAGAGGAGCAGCTGGGTCTCGAACCGGCACCCATACGGGATGCCAGCACTGCAGGCAGCGTCTTTACCTGCTATGCCATAGTGCCGGTCTCTCTGCGTATCCTTAAAAACAAGCCTCGAGCTTGCAATTGCGGTATAGCTGTGATTGTTTTAGTGTCAGTGAGGACTCTTTCAGCGGTAAGTGATGAAAAATAACTAACCAGCTTCCAGGGACCATGCCTAGATGCAGCAGGGCTAGATTTAGGGGCCTTGGTAGAGCATCAGGAATCTGAGGCTCCATCTCTTTTGCTTTTATCTTTTGTTTGGCTTCATTCTCAGTCTCCCTTCTGGATGGCAGAGGTGATGAGTGGGAGTTGATCAACTGAATAGGAGTGAAAATAATACAGCAACTTCCAAGAAATGTCCTTAAAGAGATGTGGCATGTCTTTCTCTGTCCTTTGCTTCCCTACCAATGGTCAGAATGTGAATATTATACCTGGAGATGACTGAATCATCTCAGAAGATGACTTCAGAACAGAGGAAGCACATGGAAAAGCAACCAGATAGACCAAACATCACAGAGCATGCGTACCAGCCCTGTACGATCTTCATCTGCACTTTCAGACAATGGAAAAACAAACACATATCTTGTTCCACTGTTACTTAATAAACTACATAATTCTACCTGACATCATCAAAGGAGAATCATAATGACACTGTAAAACGATAGGCACGGGGTTGATGGGCAGATGTGTCCACTGTCTCACTCCCAAAAATTCTATCCAAGTCATGGTTATTACTCTCGTGGGAATTTGAAGAGAAGAACCTGCCTGGCATGAGTGTACCTTGAATTTAAGAGTTTATGAATCCAAAGATTAAAAATAATTTGAAAAATGAGCCAAGCACAGAATTATGAGAAACAACTGTATCCATGATTTTTTTCCTAAGAAAAAAGTGCTTCCTAAAAAAAAGTGGAGAGAATTACTCCACATTTAACCCTGCAGTTTTAACAATGGAGTGCAGAAATAACAGGTTCATAATTTGAAAAATGGCTGAAATTGTATATTATAACTCACTACAGCATATTTGTTTTGACATTTTTATTAATAATTTGAGTGAAGAATTAATTAAATTGTAATCAAATGCAGAGATGATGTGATGCCAAGAGAATGGTTCAGGCATTGGATGATGGAATTGTGGGAACACAGAATTACATAACATCAGAACCCCACGAGGCTTCTCCCGTTAATCATAACTCCCATTTTACAGGTAAGAAAACTGGGGCTTATAGCTGGCAACCCAGTTACCAAAGCACACCTGCAATCAAGGGCAAAGCTATGTAACCATCTTTCTACTTTCTCTTTTTGAATAAATGAAAGCTACATCATGACTTGAGATTCAAACAGACATGAAAAAAAAAAACTGGGTCAGTGAACTGATGAGACAAGATGACATTTAATCAGGTCAACTGTGTAAGGACCTACATGTTGGATCCCAAAAAGCCCACTGTACATGCACAGTATGGGGTAGATGTGCCTTAATCAGCAGTACTTACAAGAAACACTTAGAGATGTTACTTGGGGGCAAGCTTGCGATGTCAGCAGTGGGATGTAGCTGCAAGAGAGAGATAATGTGGCACTACCAGATAGAGCTTAGAGAAAGGAAGACACAGAGTCCTGTTGAACTTTTTACTCCAGACCAGCAATTCCTCATTCTGTCTCAGGTATCAAATTTTAGAAGAGACATAGACAAGTCAGTCCACATTTGGGAAAGGAGCCCAGGACAGAACTATGTGAATAATGGTCAAACAAGTTAGAAAGCTGCAAAGAACTGCAATTAGGAGTTTGATCATGGAGTCAGACTGCCTGGGTTTAATCCTAGCTCTGCCAATTATTTCTGATTAGCATAACACCTATCTCCAAAGATAAACAATGTCAAGTGATTAGCATACTACTGGTATAAATGAAGCCCTCAATACGTGTTAGCTACTGCTGGAGTTAAGAAAGCAAAGTGTTACAGAGATATTGGTAATGAGCTCATAGGTTATGGCGAATATTAAAGGAATCAACACGTGTCAACTCCTTGTCATGAAGCTGATAGCTGTTATTACCTGCAGTTTGAGGGTTGGTCTAAGGTTTCTAGGGATAGGTCTGGGTTGGAGATAAAAATAGAGGGTGAGGCCAGCATCCCATATGAGCGCCGGTTTGAATTCTGGATGCTCTGCATCTGATCCAGCTCCCTGTTAAGGCATCTGGGAAAGCAGCAGCAGTTGGCTCAAGTACTTGGGCCTCTGCCACTTACTGGGGAGACCCGGATAGAGTCACAGCCCCCACCCCCACCCCACCTCAACCATTCTGACCACTTGAAGAACAAACCAGTGAATGGACGATCTCTTTCTCTGTCCCTCTGCCTTTGTTTCTGTTCCTCTGCCTTTGAAATAAACAACATACATCTTCCAAAACTTAAAAATGCTTTCTGGTTTGGGTTAAGATCTACAGAGCCTTTGGATCAAGTTATGCCCTAAAGAAGAAAGTCGGTTGTAGCTGGTGGCCCTGCAGACATCCCCTGGGGCTCTCACTCTGGGCTCACCTGGGCCCGGGTGACTTGCCAGGGCTGTTGAGGAACAACTCAACTGTGTTCTTGGCCACGGGCACTTAAGCTTGTCCTCATGCAGGGTTCTGATCCAAGATACTGATGTGGCTCCTCAAGGCAGTGCTGGGGATGCCACTCAAGCCTGCTGGAGAACTGCCCTATGCACAATCACTTAGGAACCATTCAGAGTGGATTCGCTTCCGGATGAGTCCTTTCTGCCCTTTGCGCCTCCCACTGCCACTGTGTGAAGAGGGCCTGGGTATCCTGACCCTTAGGGATCCTGTGGCACCCTGGACAGCTCCCTGGGGAGCAGTCCACCGCCAGGGGGCAGCTTCTGAGGGAGGAACACACCTTGCGCGCCCGCGGCTGCTCCAGGGCTCGCTCTCTGGCCAGGAGGAGGGAGAGACGGAGTGACAGGGACGCAGGGGGGCGGTGGAGGGTTGGGGTGCGCTTGGCGGGTGCGAGCCGCCGGGGTGTGAGTCAGCGCGCGGTGGGGGGGCCGAGGCGCTCGGTGAATAGTCACGGAGTCTCTCACTCACGCTCAGCTCCTCCACCCATCCCGTCCACAGCGTGGCTACCGCGGTCCCGGCTGTGTGCGTCTGTTTCTCGTGATGGCGAGGGGAGGAGGGAGTGTCCCTGTCGGTACTTCTGTAGCCAGGTTAGGGGCTTTCTCCTCCCCACCCACCGCTGTGTGGGGCGTTGGGGGTGTGTCCAGGTCAGGGCGCGCAAGCTGTGTGCGCGCGTGAGGATGTGTGGGTCAGTGCGGTGGGGCCGAGTCTGGTTTGGATGTTGGCGCAATCTCGACCTGGGTTTCCAGCCCTGGGCATCTGGAGGCCGGCGTGGTGGCGATGTCCAGCCTCCTGGCGAGGTACACTGTGCGCCTCGGCACCCTCCCCTCGCCGCCCCGGGCTGGCCATGGCTCTTTAGGGAGCGGCCGGCGTGGGAAAGGGACAGAGGAAGTGTGTCCCTGGCAGGGAAGAGAGACAGGGGGCGCAGGGGGCGGGCCAGGTCCCCGGGCGCGGCGCGGGCTCGGGGGACCCGCGCGGCTGACGTCAGGCGACTCCTTAAATAGAGCCGGCAGCGCGCTCCGCTCGGCATTTCCCGAGGAGCCGGAACGCGGCCGGAGCCAGCGCCACCGTCCGGTCCGCCCGTCACTGGCACAGCCACGCCGCGGCCGAGCGTTCCGTGCGCGGCGCTCCGAGGATCCAGAATGGGGCTTCGGGCGCTGGGCGCGCTCCGGACGCGGCGCACGTAAGAGCCGAGGAGCGCCAGGAGCCGCCCCGCTGCCCGGAGCCCCGTCGCCTAGGACTGGGAGATGTGGGGAATACCGCCGCCTGTTCCCCGAGGAGCCGCCGCCCCCGGGATCCCCGGGTACGGTGCGCGCCCCGGCCAGCAGCGCCCGGAGAAGGCGGCGCGCCCTACGCCTGACCCGCGCGCCCCGGACAGCGCCGCGCAAGCCCTCTAGGCGACCGCAGGGCCACAGCAGCTCCGCCGCAGGTGCCCCTCGGAAACCATGACCCCCGGCGCGGGCCCATGGAGCCATGGCCTATAGGGTCCTGGGCCGCGCTGGGCCACCTCAGCCGCGGAGGGCGCGCAGGCTGCTCTTCGCCTTCACGCTGTCGCTGTCCTGCACTTACCTGTGCTACAGCTTCCTGTGCTGCTGCGACGTCCTGGGCCGGAGCCGCCTCCTCGGCGCGCCTCGCTGCCTCCGCGGCCCCAGCGCGGGCGGCCAGAAACTTCTCCCGAAGTCCCGCCCTTGCGATCCCCCCGGGCCGACGCCCAGCGAGCCGAGCGCTCCCAGCGCGCCGGCCGCCGCCGCCGTGCCCGCCCCTCGCCTCTCGAGTTCCAACCACTCTGGGTCGCCGAAGCTCGGCACCAAGCGGCTGCCCCAAGCCCTTATCGTGGGCGTGAAGAAGGGGGGCACCCGGGCCGTGCTGGAGTTTATCCGCGTGCACCCGGACGTGCGGGCCTTGGGCACGGAGCCCCACTTCTTCGACAGGAACTACGGCCGCGGGCTGGACTGGTACAGGTAAGCAGCGCACGCCCCGCTGAGCGCGCCGGGGCTCTCACGGCCTTGGAGCTGTCGCCTGCGTTTTGTCTTCTCCTGCGGGAGACTCTGGCAGGATTTACCTAGAACTTCCCGGTGATTAGCCAGACGCCCTTGCGCTGCAAAGGGCGTTCCCTGTAGCCATTGGCATGGCTGGATGGGAAGGCAGAGCCCTCACTGAGGGCTGAAGGGCTGGCCCCGTGACCAGCCTTCCCCGCGTGGAGCAGGGTGTCCGAGGAAGGGGCTGGCCAGAGCACACTGGCATCCCTACCCTGGGTAGGTCTTCCTGCTCCTTGGCACCTGAGGGACCCTGGGAAGCGGAAGTCAGGACAGAGATCCTTAGGGGCAGGGCTGTGTTTGGATGAGGCCCCTAGCTTTCAGGCCAAACGAGAGCGCAGCAGCCCAGGGCTCCCGATGAGAAAGATCTCTTAGGGAATCCCAGGCCCAGTGCCCAGGTCTCTGCTGCTGCACCTGGGCTGAAATCCCCCGACCCTGGGCCAGTGGTCTTAGTGGGAAGAGACCTGGATTCAAGTCTTGGTTCTGTTGCTTAGTTTGAGCAAGTTTGACACTCTCCCAATCTCTGTTTTCTCATTCATCCCAATGGGCAGCAAAACAGACTTTTGTCTTGGCTACCTCCAAGTGCTTTGCTCCAGAGGTGTAGAAAAGACATTTCTCATTGGGTGATGCTTGCAGAACAGTAGCGGGGGAATGGGATGAGGAATCCTGGTGGGCATCTCAGGTGAGGGTTGACCAGGGCTCCCCGGGCAGCCAGTCACTCCCTACCACACTGCCAGGGGTGGCTTACCTGGTCTGAGAGTGTCTGGACCCACATTGAGCCTCCGCTCCTCGTGGCACAGCTGCCTCCTGAGCCCTGCATGGCGCAGAAGCCTAGGACAGCTGGCCTGTGGCCATCCCTGCAGGTGGCAACATGTACGGACCGCCCAGGACACAGGATGCTCACCACTGAACTGACCCCTAGAAGACGTCCTAGCATCATCTGCGTAGTGAGAACTGTGGGGGGAACACCACAGCAGCCAAGGCTATTATTTTTGCAGAAGTCAACCCTGTAGGCAGTAGAGGTCATGTGCATGTTGGAGAAAGCCCAATTTCATAGGAAAGAAGACCCCATTGGGCTTCTTCATGGGGGTCCTGGATTTGTAAGAAGAGAGCACTACAGAGGCTGACTTGCATCTTTGCCAGGGATCCCCGGCCTGTAGTGGCTGTGGTTTGGGGACAAGGCGTGGGGCATGCATCCCTCTCAGTAGGCAGGCACACAGGGGATAGGCCTGCGGGTGGCCCCTGCACTGTGATGCTGGTGAAAGAACACAGTGGTGCACAGTGGTGGGTTTGGTTCTGTGCCAAGGCTGTTGGCCCACCATGCTTTGCAAGCTATAACCCACAGACATCCCATGCAGGTATATGGACGGGAGAAGCAAGCACACTGAACAGCCGAGACTTGCCAGAGTGGGCCCGCCATGGCCACATTCACATGCATGCTGGGGCTTCCTGGATGGAAATGCTGAAGACCATTACGGAACCTTTAGCCAATGTGAAGCGCCTTTCAAGTGCAAAGCAGCAAGGCTCTGAGCGTCCGGCTTTTAGATGGTGTGGTCTCCAGTAAACACCTGTGCTCTGAACGCAGCCCCCCACCCCCTTCTCCTCTCTCCACCACCACCAAACAACATAGCTCAGGCTTGCTTCCCAGAGCCCGTGTCATTCAGGGATGGCTGCTTTTTATTTTTAACCTTGGCATGTGTGATGCTAAGCCAGCTTAGCTGTGAACCTTAGAGATGGGAGCCATGTCTTTCTTTCCTTTTTTTTTTTTTTTTTTAGCACATTTGGATTCTGCTAAAATTCTCAGCTGAGTCTTGGTAGGTTTTATTTAACATCAAGCACGCTGACAGCTCCTGTTCTCTCTCTTTTCCTCCCTACTTTCTTCTTTTGTGTTTCTAAAAGGAAGATTGTCCAGAGGTCTGGTCATAATTGCCTTATCGCCATCACTTGCCTGGGAATGCTGGGAGCCTACAGCATCAGCACAGGGCTGTGTGGTTTGTGTTTCTTGCAGTTACAAATTGACACTCTCTGAGTCAAGGGTTTCAGTTGTGGATTGCCATTTCTGCACAAGTTACAACTGCCCTGTTTAGATGCTATTTCCTGAATCTCCAGGATAGTCCTCTGTGTATATTTTTTTAAAGATTTATTTATTTATTTGAAAGTCTGAGTTACACAGAGAGAGGAGAGGCAGAGAGAAAGAGGTCTTCCATCTGATGATTCACTCCCTAGTTGGCCGCAATGGCCAGAGCTGTGCCAATCCAAAGCCAGGAGCCAGGAGCCAGGAGCTTCTTCCAGGTCTCCCAAGTAGTACAGGGGCCCAAGGACTTGGGCCATCTTCTACTGCTTTCCCAGACCATAGCAGGGAGCTGCATCAGAAGAGGAGCAGCTGGGACTAGAACCAGCGCCCATACGGGATGCCGGCTCTTCAGGCCAGGGCATTAACCCGCTGCGCCACAGCGCCAGCCCCCTCTGTGTGTATTTGGCCCTTTATTATCACTCCAGTAATGAACATTAGTTGAAGAAATGATGGAGATTTCTGAGATCAGTCTCCTTTTCTTCCGGAATTCCATGAGTCCGGTATGACAGGTGACAGTGTGCTCCTCTGTCTGCCCACGACCCTCATTATTTCACGGCTTGCTGTCACAAAGCCAGTGTCCACCACATACACGTGGCCAAGGAGCTCTTGTATGCTCCATTGTGCTGGACTGGGTTTCCCCAAAGTGTAGCTGCAGAGTTGCTGATGGTGGCTCTTACTATGATCTGCCTATGGTAAAGCGATAACTTTCTGGGTCAGGAGATCCAAATCCAGATAGACGATGAAAAAAATCAAAATTTTTACCCTCAACCCAAAGGAGAAATTTCTTCCCATGGGCAGATGGAGATTCAATGTTGAAGGCAAACAATATAGCCAGAGAAATGGTATCAGCGTAGGAGAATGGGACACAGAACTTGTATACACTTCATTGCCTCCAGCTTGAGTTTCCTTTTGGGAACCAGCCCAGCAGGCCACCCTCACAGAGCCCAGCCCTCTGCAGTAGGATCCTTCCCATCCAATACCTTTCTGGATTTGTTCTCCAATGCCTCCCTCACCTGAGAAGCTGGCCTGGGTTCTCCGCTCCAAGTTTCCTCGCCAAGGTAGCAGCAGGTCCCACAGGGTAGATAGGACCCACTAGCTACCTGGACAGGTAGACACAGTGAAACCAGGCTGATGAGGGAACCAGGATAGGACTGTGGCTGAAGAACAGAGGTGGCCACCAATTGCTGTGTGATTTGAAAACAGGTGGCCCCTGTCGGCCCTGACTGTTTTGTCGTCAAATGGGATCTGTTGTCATTCTACTGGAAGCATGTTTGAAAGAATAAATGGGACACTTTATGCAGAGGTGACCTGGACATTTCTTTGGCCTATGAAGATATGGCAGTAATTTATCACCAACACCACTATTACAACTACCACCGCACCACCAGCGCTCCTGTTATCACTACTCAAACCATTAGTAAACCATTAGTTTCTGTTCCTGCTGCGGCTACTAAATGGGGCTAAAGAATTTCTTGCTAGAAAAATTGTTTTCTACTTTCCCCCTTTTTAAAAAGATTTGTTTATTTATTTGAAAGTCAGAGTTACGTAGAGAGAGGAGAGAGAGGCAGAGAGAGAAAGAGAGGTCTTCCATTCGCTGGTTCACTCCCCAGTTGGCCGCAACAGCTGGAGCTCTGCCAATCCCAAGCCAGGAGCCAGGAGCTTCTTCTGGGTCTCCGACATGGGTGCAGGAGCCCAGGGACTTGGGCCATCTTCCACTGCCTTCCCAGGCCATAGTAGAGAGCAGAGAGCTGGATTGGAAGTGGAGCAGACAGGACTTGAACCAGCGCCCACATGGGATGCTGGCACTGCAGGTGGCAGCTTTGCCCATTACACCACAGCGCCCTCTCCGCATTTTTCTTTCCTTTCTGCTTCCTCCCCCCGCCCCCTTCCTTCCTTGTGCATTGATAAAAAGTCACTTCGCATGTCTGGGTGGCAGTTTGCTCATGTCTGCTCACGCCTGACCTGCTTTACAGACTTGTGGAAATCAAGTAAGACAATCGATGTAAAAATATTTTCCCAAACTTAATGTCATATTCAGGATGTCATTGTGTTACTCAGGTTTGGATGCAAGGCAGACTATCCAGTGTCGCCTTTTTACAGGGACATAGTTGTGCCGTGTCCAGTAGTTTTCACAGTCTCTGGGGAAGCTGAATTTTGTCTCAATTGCTTTCATTTTGCTAGTGTTTCAGGATGCCAGGGGCGTGTGTGTGTGTGTGAGTGTGTGTGTGAGTGTGTGAGTGTGTGTGTGTGTGTGGAGAGGCAGTGAATCTTTTCCAAATGTATTAAAATGCCAGCCAGAGCAAGTTAATATGTGATAATTGACTGTGTACTCCGGTGTCCAAATTTTGATAGATGACCCTGTTCTGTACGTTTTAGACTCCATTTCACAACTCCGGTTATTTATTTGTTCAGCATCCATGGTGTTCCTGATATGATGTAAGGAAAGAAGACACAGTATTTGCCCCAGAGGCAACAATCTAAATAAGAAAGAAAATAAAAAGCACAGAATGAGATCTCTCCCATGAGCAAACTTGTTTCAATCAAGGATTAAGATTCTAATAGCAAAGCCAAACGCAGGAAGAGTGAACTTCAGGAAGAAATAAAACCAAAGGCAGAAGGCAAATTTCTACAAAGTAGTTAATGCAAAGGCGTCACCATCTTTTAACCAACTGGTCAATGTGGGAAGCAGATTGACCTGTGCTCACTGTGCACAGGTGCACGTGTGGTGCAGACCCCAAACGTGTATGCACACCCGTGATCGCAGTGTCTGTGCAGACTTGTGCTTGTTAAGGGAGTTTCCCTACCTTCATTCAGAAGAATGTCACACACGCTGATGAAACAAAACCTTTGA